CAGTTGTGATTGTATCTGAAGAGATTTGTCATTGGCTACACTCTGCATAGCGCCTTTCAATTGAGGGATAAATTGTATTGTGAAAGAAATATCAGGAAAGAAATTCTGGAGGGGTACGACAGAATAAAAAATAAACATGAACTAGCTCACAGCACAGTGCGCTGGCACGGCGAGTAACAAATACCAATTTTGTCTTTGTCTGAAACTTGCTGCAACTTAATTTTATGAATTTCATGTGTTATTGAAAGTACACTAGTTCTGGCAAGTCTTGGCGGTATTGAAAGCATTATATATAATGTAGGAGATTTTTGTTTTCATTTAAAGTTAGATTTGTTGATTGAAAATATGTATTTGATGAATCCTTTGACAGTTGGCTGTTCTGGAAGAAATTTCCTTTCTCTGTCTCTGTTCTTTCACACGGCACCTGGCATTCACCGGGAGCATCGTGAGAGAGTTAACTGGTCATGAATAAATGTGTGGAAGATCTTGAGAGATTGTTATCATATAAATGTTGTGTTTGCTGATGCTGCTGACAAATCACATTTCACAAGGAAGTAATAATCGCTACAGGTTTAAAAGAGAAGGCGTTCCTAAGAAGTTACAAATCTTTCAATACTGAAAGGTTTGTAACATACGAGGTAGTGAAATTTTTGAAATAAAATTATTTTATTTCATTTTTATCATTAGCAGTTGATAAAACTATGATAATGAAATGAACTAGTGTAAAATGTGTCTAAACAATATTGCTTGTTAGAGTGTGATCTTTGTTCGTTTTTTGTTTTGTATGAATTCTAAAACCGGCAACTGACTCAATGCAGAACTAATACAAAAACTAGAGTGTCGTCTGGAAATCAAAGCCAGAACCATATGAGCGATGGGCGAGCACAGCTGACACAGACACACAAGTAATGTCTAAATATATACTTTTATTACTCTTATTTTTCAATGATATACAAAAGTTGCTTATTACATGTTAAGTGTTGTGAAGACTGGAAATAATATTTCCGTCATTGGAAGGAGCTGTACCCCAGGCACCAGCTACCACTCGTTTTTATTATTTTGGGGGCGTTTTTTTGAAATGTCAAAGTGAACAAAATTCTTTCAGCCTGTTCAGATCTTGACGTCATGCTCTGGGATATGACGACTCTGACTTGCAACGTTTAGAACCAGGCTCAACTCCAGCAATTCCAAGGAAATTTTTGCCTCCAAAATTTTTTCATCAAGTAGCACAAAACTAGGTTTTTTAATACGATTTAACTCAGATTAACATTAAAATCGGTGAACTTTCGGAAATTGACAATTCCAATCTGTCAATTTCCTGAAGGCTCACCATTATGAGGAAGGGGAATATGTTATTATTTTGAACTGCGTTGGGATGCGGGAAGAATAAAGGAGTAATGCTTGCTCAAATAAATAAGCAAGCATGTACAGAATTAGATACATAATAATTTAGTTCAGTTTAGTTAGCTCGCGAACGCCTCATTTGTACCCAGCCATCGCGAGGCTCGCTTATAACACAGCAATGTCTGGTAACATTCAAGAGTCTTGGCTTCATTGCGGCCAGTCCGCCTTGTCTGCGGTCGCTGCTGCCTTCGTTCATTGGCCCGCACGGCGAGCGGAGTCGATCCGGCTAACAGGTAGCGACGGTCGCGCGCCGGCTCGGTCGAATGATGACTTTCTCAAATTCGAGCGGCCCTTATCGAGGCGCTCACCGGAATATACATAAAAGAGCGATAACGCCCGCAAACACCAGTCACTTCGTCCCACCGCCAGCCACGGGATTTGTTTGGCACGCAGTTCTTGCACGCAAGAGCCACGAGAATGCGACCTGCGCCGTTTCTTTAAGCGTCTTTCGCTCGAACATACGGGAGGGAAATGGAGACTCTTTTGAGGTAATTTCGAAAACGCAGAGGCTCCACGTTAAGTACGCCCCCCCCCCACACACACACAAATATCCGTTTCAAATTCAAGGGGTAGAGACATAGACCGACTTGATAGAGGAATATCAATTTTGGTGAAAATTCTGCCTACTATTTGGTGTGGCCGCTGAAGTAGTTCACGGACGGACCGACAGACGTTTTGCCGCCAATCGATTTATCGGTATCAAGGACTCATGACAAAACATGGATTTTTATTAATTTACGTACGTCAAAAACAATTAAAAATTGTCTGTGACCTGGAGAAGTTAATTTGACGTTACATTAGAAGTTACACTACACAATAAGAGTTTATTGAGAAATCGCCATTTCATGCTGCCGTATAACACATTCCTCTGTACTGAGTATGCAAGAAAGTAAAAAGACACAGTATATCGAGAAAAAAACATTACGATCTTTATGCATGTTACGATTGTGTATTGTCGCAACTCCTTATGACCGCTTGCGGCTCAAAAATGTCTCACATTTATCAAATTCATTTGATAAATGACTATTTTTTTTAAACCACCTCTTATACTAAAATTACACACGATAATGTCGAGATTTATTCCAGGGACTGTGGCCAAGGAAATACCTTCAACCACTTTCTCCCCCCCCCCATCTGACGACAGACCGCCGCATTGCACAAGCGTAGCTATTTCTGGTGTGATTCAAAAGGCATTCACTATGTATCCCAGAGAACACCCTGCAACAGTTTGTACTGAAAATTCACCAAATAATTAAGTCCCAAACGGAGAATCTTTGTTGACTGAAAACAATTCTCACCCATCCAGTTTTTAGTAGTACGGAAAAAGGCACACAAAAGTATACATTTTTTTGGAAGAGAGAACAGTTTAGGCAACACAATTCCCAAAAAAAAAATTTGTGCAAAACATTCCATCTACTAACCTATTCTTCCCAGAACCAAACTTTAATGACCTATTGCTTACGTCTTCGCCCCCCCCCCCCCCCCCTCTAGATGCCACAAAGACATTAAAGATTTCAACAAATACTAAAATAGATGTTTTGAAAACAACTTTTAAAATAAATCATCCCATTCATGAGGCATCACGACATTCAAGATTAATTTTAAAGTAATTTTATAAGTGGTAAAATGAAAAAGTTTTATTTCATTGTAAGACCTGTAAAATACAATTTTCTTCAAAAACAGAAGAATTTTTACCCCCAAATAAATAAATATTTGAAATATACATATTTCCTTAATTTGCCCCATTGCATCATACAATGTAACTATAATATGAAAGATGAATGTTTTGGTCCTTCAAAACTTCTGGTTAGGCTTCTGCAGAGAAAAAATGTCCATTGTCTAGGGCCTCTGTTTTAAGAGGTATGTGCCCATGCGTGGAAAGGAATCAAACTTATGCAAAGAAAAATTTAAACATCTACAGGACATGATTATCAAATAACTTGATCTCGCTGTTGGCAACTATGCAACCAACTGAGAGTGTCACATTCATTTACACCATGACAGAAAAAACTTAACCATGCTGAAACCATCAGGTGGTATGCCAACAAACTGTTTTGGGGGACCAAATAACGAAGGTAGTAGAAAATAATACTGAATTTGATTATTACAACTATTTATAACTAGGTGGTTGAAATAATTCATGTTCATGTCATGTTTTAATTTAAAATTTCCATAAAAATATGATAAATACAAAAAAATATGAAAATTAAAAAAAAGAT